TTTGCTCTTCTAATCATTTCTTTCTTTTTTTGGCCTAAATGTTTTTATTTGAAACATAGAGTCATACTAAACAAGACTTTCCCTTCTCTAATCCAAGGTAAAGCAGCACAATAGGGCACAATTGGTAGCATAATTCAGTGTGAACACTATCCTATTCATGTGCTGGGACAACTTTATTCATAAGTTCTTATACAAAATATTTTCCTCAGATTAAGTGTCACACAAAAGGAAGTGGTCTTTATTCTGTGTGTGGGGGCAGCATTTTTTCTAAGAGAGAAGCACAAACAACCTATTCTTAAAAAAAATTAAAAGTAGAATATTTAATCTCCCATCTCCCAGAATAAAAAGTAGTGCTGAGATACGGCACCCAGATTTGATTTTTATCCTGATCATTTACACAGGGTTTCCCAATGACATGCATTATTAGGGTTGTGAATAAAGTTCATTTGCTCTGGAGAGTCTACTCCTTCCTCCTCTTCTTGCCTTCATGCTCATGTTCTTTGGGGTGACTGCTATCTGAGGGGCTTTTAGAGCTGCCATGATGTTTGGCTTCTTCCAAAAACTTGTCCAAACCAAAAGGATCTTCCTCAAACTGGACTGGTCCTTCTCTGCCTCTCTGCCTCTGGTCTGAACCAGAAAACTCCTTATCAGGAACAAATCTGTTGGTCTTTATTCTGGCTTCCAGGTCATCACCATACATATCCTGGTCCAGATTTTCACTGGGTCTATAAATACTCTAGGCCATATCTTTACCACCTCCCCAAGCCTGATCATAAACATTGTAAATTTCACCTTTTCCACCTGCAGATCTGCTGTCCATATCCTTGGATTGGCTGAAGAACCTTTGGTTATACTGGATTTCATAGGAAGTTCAAGGATTGGGCACACCAAGAGCAATAACTTAACTGATATCTCAGTTTTCATTTCTCTACAGTTTTGACCTCTTATTGGGGGCTGCCCTGGAGAGATTCCAGTTGTGCTGTCTCTCTTTGCACCTATCATGCCAGATTTCATCCCTTTCCCATGCCTCTCCGTTCTCTTCTTCCACATGGATTTTAATCCCAGCTCTCCTCTCTCTGGCTTTCTGGGCCATTTCCCTAAGTTTCTCTTCGTGTTTCTCCTTTTCTTTTTGCGCCATCTTTCTCTCCACTTGGGCCCGCATTTCCACAGCTTCACGAGCCTGTTTGGTAAAGAGAGATGTTAAGAGGAATACATCATGAGGTAAACACAGCTCCTTCTAATGCCCTACTAAAGTCAGGCATGTAAAAGCAAAGAGGATTCTTATGTATTGCTGTTGAAAGAAAAAGAGCTCTGCCTGGAAGACTTTGTAAGATTAGCTTTCACTCTGGGGAATGTTTTCATGCTTGTAACTCTAGGGACTCCAGTCAATTTTATAAGTCAAGAAGTTTTAATGCTTTCTCAGTAAAAATCTACATGAAAAATTGGCTGAGCACAACAGCATGTGCCTATAATCCCAGCTCTCAGAACCAAGGCTGGAAGATCGCCTGAGCCAGCAAGTTTGAAATCAGAATGGACAACACAGAAAACCCAGTTTCCAAAATGTAAATAAATGGAGCTGGGCATGTTGGTGCACATCTGCAATGTGAGCACTCAGGAGGCCGAGCAGAAGGATTGCTCTGAGTTCCAGGACAGCCTGGGCTGCACAGTTTAAACTTCCAGGCCAGTCTCAGTTACAAACTCAGATCTTGTCTCAAAAACAAAACAAAGCAAAGGAAAATAACAAACCCACAAAAAATTTAAATATGACTCTAGCTTAAGAGAAAGCTTGGCCTGCACCTCAGAATGTTTACCTACTTATCCCTGCAACAGTTCTTTTGGGGGACAGCTACATCAAAAAGAGAGGCAAACTATGAACAGTACAACAGAATCTCGCAATCTTGACAAAATGGGACCAGCCTAGGAAAGCCTTATTCTGGCAAGTCATTAAGAAGGTGTTTCATCACTGATATGGGGTGTTGTAAGTCTAAAAGATTGGGCCCATTATACAACTAGCACCTGATACCACCAACACAGACACGCTAGTCTCTCTAGATACTCAGCACTATTGCAAAATGAACAGTACCTTATGTAAACAGGAATGAGCTCATAAATGATCAAGAGCAAACTATAACAGACCAACCTTCCGATCAGCAATGTAGAGAGCTTCAGCCAGTTTGGCAAAGTTCTCGTTTATGTGTACTGTCTGAAGTCCTCTTCCGTCAGCAGCTAGCTGTTTAGCTAATGGAATTGTGTAACCCTAAGGTGAAATCAGAAAGAAAATATCAGCACAGCAGAGCTACAGTAATTTCTTAAAATCAACTTAAAACATGCCCATTTTGAGAACCACCAAAAGTTCCAATTTCTTACATTTTTATACAAGTATAAAAAACAACAATATTTGCTTTGGATGTAGGATTAAGTGCTTCACATCTGTGGTTTTAATCATAAGAGCTTTGTAAAGCTGGTACCACAATGTTTTGCATTTCAGAGGAAGATAGTGAGGCAGAAATTGTAGGTAATGGCACTGAGTTCATACAGTTAGTAAGGGGAAGAAGCAGATTTGAACAATTTGAGAAACCCAAGCTTTGGAAAAATTGTGTTAATAACTGTGGGTTTTAGTAAAAGAAAACTATTGTCCGACATGTAAATTGTTGTTCCAGGAGTAAAACTAACAGTCATAAAAAGATAGCACAAACTGCTATAATCCAAGGAAAATGGCCATGAAACTTTCAGGCTTAGTTTTATTTCTCCCAAACAGTGATTTTCATTGCATTGTCTCCTAATATAAAGTGGTGCTAGCCAGGTGTGGTGTACATACCTGTAATCCTAGCACTTGGGAGGCGGACTCAGGAGAATTGTAAATTTAGGTCCAGCCAGGCCCACATAGCATGTTCCAGTCCAGTTAAAGGCTACAAAGTGAGACTTTGACCCACAAAGAATAAATACAAAATAATGGACTCCCTATCTAAAAATAATCCTTCAAACAAACAAACCAAAACAAAACCCAAAGGGGTTACAAACTCAGATTAACATATAATAAGGTTACACACACACTAATCAACTGAAATGGCACTAGCCAGGAGCCTTTATGCTGGAGGATGAATATCTAAGTTCCTACAAAGAACAAGCTATTTTAAAAAATATATACTTTTTTATTTTATGTGTATGAGTGCATTGCCTGCATGTGAGTGCACCCATGTTGTGCAATGCCACGGAGGTCAGAAGAGGGCTTCGGATTCCCCTGGAACTGGAGTTAAGGACAGTTCGTAGCTGCCATGTGGGTGCTGGGAATCGAGCCCAGGTCCTCTGCAGGAGCAGTCAGTGCTCTTAACTGCTGAACCATCTCTCCAGTCCCAAGCTATTTTTAATCCAGGGTTCAAAGTGGCTGCCTTCACCCACCCAAAGAATTATGAAATAGAAATTAGGAAACATATCCCAGAGTTTACAGATTCTTACTGACTTCTG